CAAAAGATGCATGAATTAAATTGTTTTTAAGACAAGAAGCCTAAAAAGTTACTTGGTTGAGAAATTTTTCAAAGTCGAAGCGATTTCAAATAAATTCTGGAAAATAAGACATAGTACATTTACATGAAGGCTTCTCCAGAAATGATGCCTCTATTTCATTATGTTGGCCAAGGTCATCAGAGATGAATGTTGGTGGTATGGCAGTAGAGGTTCAGCCTTTCCAGCAATACTACATCACATTTTGTTGTTGTCTGACAGATGGCAGCAGAGGGGTGATCTGACAAAATGGCATTTGACATGGAAGTGCATATGAAGAAAAGGTTTGGAACTGAATTCCTCCATGCAAAAATAAATAAATAAATAAATAAAATAAAAAATTGCACCCACTGACATTAATTGAATCTTGCTGAATTTTATGGAGACCAAAGAGGGGATGTAAGCACAGTTGGCAGCAGGTGGTACATTTCAGAAGTGGCAGCAATGTCAGAGAGTCACCTCTGCTGGTTCAGATTTTTGTAAGCATGCTAACTCATATTGTAACCAGAATCTACCTGAGAAAGAAAGCTGGTTTCCCTGGCAGCATAGGAACACACAGCTGAGGATGTGTATCAGTGTATGTACTGGGAAGGGCAGAACACTGGGAAGCAGAGCGGGATCCCAGCCCAGCGCTCTGGTTATAGGAAACAGTTATCAAGGGGAATTGTTATCCCAAGCTTCCCTGTGACAAAAGACAACGATAGATCTCTCTTCCTCCTCTGCTGTGTCAACTCAGATCTCTGTCTGAGATGATTCAATGTTCTGAGCCCACAGGGACACATCTATGACTTCTGCTGCTTTGCATTGCTTCACAGGAGGCTCCAGCAAGCAACAAAGCATGAGCAAAGAGCACCAGGCAGGCAGGAGGCCAAGAACAGAGACTGAGGTAGAAGTAGAGAGAAAAAGATTGGGGCATGGAAGGAAATTTTTCTGAGTGCCAAGATTTAATTGTCTGTGTACCTACTTAAAGGCTTAATCCGCTGCTTTTTAAGCAAAGATTCTTGGAAACACTAAGTGCCTTACCCAGTCAGGGACTGACAAAGTGAAAAGCATATTTTGCACGTGAGAGGTTTTATTACACTTTTTAAAACTTCAGATTTGATACTTCCATAGAGTCCTTACAATAGTAGTTTTTGTGATAATCTTCCTATTCACAGACACTTGTTTTGTAGCACAGAAACTGATGTTCTTCACATGGCAGGTGCACCTCATAAATCTTACAAATACACATGAAAGATAAAAGATTTTAAGACACAGCAGAAAAAAAGGGAGATGTCTTTCCAAAAACACAAACAAGGCAGCTTAATTTTTATGGTCAAACTCTGAGCTGTGGCCACATTTATTTGTTTGCAAGATGAGCAGGAAATTATGAACCCAAGTTCTGTGCCTCAAGGCTGCTCTAAATGAATACCTACCAATATATTGTAGCCAACAGGGACTGTAATAAGACAAAATGGGAAGCAGAAGGAAAAAGGAAGCTAAATACCATTTCTTCAAAAAAAGGCTTTCTGGCATATTTACTCTACAGTGTCCTCAACTCCACTGAAAGTAAGTAGCAAATACTATCAAAGAGGGTTTTTTTTTTTTTTTTTTTTTTTTTTTTTTTTTTTTCAGAAATATATAAATAAGTAAAGTAATTAGTAAAATAATCATGGTAATTAATTATGGCAACTCAAAAAATGTTCATAAGGAAGTTGGATTCAGACTACAAGTATGTAATAAACAATCCTGGTATAGGATGTAACTTCTTGAGAAATGGACACCTCTCTCCACCTCCTTATAATTTTACAAGCTCTGTTATATTTCAGTAGTTGCCCCTTCTGTGATAATTTTACCCTCTGATAGGACAAGAAACACTATCTTGCTCCAGCAGTTAAATATTGGTCAACAGATCCCGGTAAGGTAAATTTCTGTTCGTTTAAATTCCAATTCCTTTCTATTGTTCTCTTCAGTGCCACTTTCACAGCACTAAGGGAGGCCCAGCCAGGTGACTATCTGCCCCTTGCAGGCATGTGAGATGAACAGTTCTCTGCACTGCACTACTTATCTCTCTTGCAACGCTGTTATCAACTAGAAGGATTTAGCTAAAGTGCCATATAAAGACATTTTAATTCACCTCAGCCTCATCTCAGTATTCAGAGGGACATATATTTTGTCATTTTGGGGGGCTTTTTTCACATTTTCCTGTCTTAAATGCATTCTATCACAGTAATGTGATCGCAAATTGTCAAAACCCCAATGGTTTTAATTATTCAAATTGTTGCAGTCTACACAGCTGCAAAAAACAAAAGCTATACCTCATTGCAATCACAAAATACATGGCTATAGGCACACACTAAATCAGTACTGTAGGGAAAATAAACTGAACAAAAAATTCCAGCTTCTTTTCTTGTTTCAGTCACGTAGTAAAGGAGGGAGGACTTCCTTGGGAATGGATTTCTTTTTCTTGAGTTGAGGGGAATGTTCTTGTGTATAAGCCCATTACTGAAATGGCCACCTGCAACCCATCCTTGGCTAGTTTCAGGTAGGACATCAAGGTTCATTAATTCTCCTAGCTGAAAAAGTCATATGCATAGTTCTTTCTTTATTCATTGTAAATTCTCAGAAAAAAAAAAAAAAAACAAAAAAAAAACCTGATGTCTTTCTAATAAGGTTTAGGTAGCAGAGTACAAAATTTCCACCATACAATTACAAATTTCCAGCACCAAAGAGGTCTTGTTTTTATAAAAGCATTTGGATTTCTGATACTACTTTTAAAGACAATGACTCTGAAATTACCTACAAGCACTCCTGCAGAGGATACACCTCCATAGCATCTAAACCTGGCTTAAGGTGGAACACAATAACACTATTAACCAGGTGTGCTTCCTCACATCCTTCTTTGTGCTGATTCAGAAAGAAAACCAGATGAAATTTGCCCAAATTTTATTCATTTATTCATTCATTCATTCACTCATTTTCCTAATCACTTTCCTGAACTAACTCTTTATCAGGTCATAAGTATTGATACATGGTACATGTGTACTCAAATCAGCATTAACCAAATAAATGTGGGCACTAAAAGCAGTCAACAGCATGAAGATTTGGGTGTATTTCTTTCCCCAGAAGGAAAGTCCTTACAGTTGAAAGGCAAGAAATGAAATTCTAGATGAATGGTTCTCTCATTTCACATCTGTATTAATGACCTTGGTATGGGAAATAGTGATGCATTAATGAAAGCGGCAGATGGCACAGTTGTATAAATTGAAACCACAACATCATAAGATAATAATGACCTGAATCTGAAGAGGGCTGGAATAAATACAGGATGACACTTTCCTACACAAAAGGTTATGTGCTCAAAGAAGACTTGATTATCTCCAACTTATGGTGTGACTTCTTAGAAACAGGGCAATGAAAAGCAAAATTATCATTAACAGATGAGAAAATAAGCAAAAGCCACAAATGTGACATTGTTGTGGAAGACAGATACAGTAACATAAAGTTAAATGCATGAAACACAGAGAAATATTAATGTCATTGCATAAGCTTTTATTTATTTGCTTGCTTGTTTTCAGAAGCAGTGCAACTGTGAAAAGATGAATTTTCTTAGCTGAGGACTGAGCCAGTCCACAGGTAAGAGATTAGTGATGCCAACACACTGACTCCTTCTTTGCACAGCTTTTCTCTTAACTTGATCCTAATGAGACCCCAGTCTAAACACTACAAAGTGTTTTGCCCTGACAAGTCTGGCATACAAGTGTGTGGTAATGACGACCTTGGACTGTGCTTTATTGATTATCTGGATGAGAAAATTTAGCGCACTCTAAGTAAGTTTGCAGATGACACCAAGTTTGGAGGAAGTGTTGAACTACCTAGGGGTAGGAAAACCCTGCAGAGGGATCTTGACAGGCTCAATCAATGGGGCTGAGGCCAGCTGTACGAGCTTTAACAAAATCCTGAACACAGGACATAACCCTGCCTAACCAGGGCTACTGGTGGATGGAAAGCTGGACGTGAGCCAGCAATGTGCCCTCATAGCCCAGAAAGCCAACTGTATCCTGGGCTGCATCAAAAGAAGTGCAGTCTGCAGTGAGGGAGGTGATCCTGCCCCTCTGCTCTGCACTGGTGAGACCTCTCCTGGAGTACTGCATCCAGATATGAGTCCTCTGGACAGCAGAGATGTGGACCAGTTGGAATGTGTCCAGAGAAAGGTCACAGAAATGATCCAAGGGATGGAACACCGCTCCTACGAGGACAGGCTGAGTGGGCCGGGGCTGTTCAGCCTGGAGAGGGCTCCGTGGAGACCACAAAATAGCATTTCAGTATCTAAAAAGGGGCTGTAAGAAGAAAGGGAGCAAACTTTTTAGCAGAGTCTGCTAAGTCAAAGGGATATGGTTTCAAATTAGAGATTTAGATTGGGCATAAGAAAAAAACTTTTTACAGTAAGGCTGCTGGTGAGGCATGGCACAGGCTGCCCATGGAGGGACCGCAGTCCGTGGAGGCGTTCAGGAACCACACAGATGTGGCAGCGACAGCCGGGTTAGTGGGCACGGCGGTGACGTGCTTACAGTTGGACCAGGTGATCTCAGAGGTCTTTTCTAACCTTTACGATTCTACGACTCTCAGGAAAACGTGAAGGATTTTGAGTACGCGCCCACACACCCGCATTTATACAAACGGCGTAGCACCTACCTCCAACCCCGCCCGCCTTCCCCTCACGTCCCGCCCGGTGCAACGCCGCACTGCCAGCGTCAGAGCCCAACCCACGCTACAGAACGGCCGCCGCTGCCGCCTCGCTAATAACCCCCGCACCCCTCCGCAATTCCCCTCACCCACCCTCAGCTCTTCCCCTCTCGGGGTCGGCGAAGCACAGAGACCGAGCGCCCCACTCGCTGCCCCTCAGCGGCCCGCAGGGCGTTTTTGTACTTGTAGCTTTCCATCAGGCGCGCCGCGGGCAGCCCTGCGAGCGGGAGAAGCGGCGAGGGCCGCCGTGAGGCTGACGTGTCGGCGGGCGGCGGTGGCGGCGGCAGCAGCATGTGAGTGCGCGGGTGCGATCCTGGCTCTGCTGCTCCACATTGGGTCCTCACACGCCTCTAACCCCCCGCTTTCTTCTCGCTCTTCCCAGGTCGAAGGTCACCTTTAAAGTCACGCTCACCTCCGACCCGCGGCTGCCCTACAAAGTGTGAGTGCGGGGTTGTACTGCGTGAGGTGGGGCCCTGAGCCCTGCGGGGTTCCCTTGGCATTCTTTTGCTTTTATTTTATCGTGGAAGATGAATGGCATGTGTGTCTCTGTTCTGCCTCATCCTGTACGTACACATCTTTGGCAGGAGGGTTGCTGCTCGTAAAGTCGCTTGATATTGGTTTATGTTAGCAGTCACGCACCCAACGTTTAAACTCTCGTTTCAGGCTAAGCGTGCCCGAAAGTACACCTTTCACAGCTGTCTTGAAGTTTGCTGCTGAGGAAGTAAGTAGAAAGATGTGACTGCTCTTAATTTTGTGACTGCTTGAAAACAAAAGGTTGTTGGTTGTAAAATACAACACTGAATCCAACATGCCAAAAGAAAAATCTTATTGCTAGATACTCATGAGCCCTGGCTTCACTGATGTCAGTGGATCTGTCAAAACTTCTGGATTCTGTAATTCAGCAGTTCTTACAGGATTTGTATGGGAACAGGCTGAGAGAACTGGGGCTGTTCAGCATGGAGAAGAGAAAGTTCCAACGTGACCTGAGAGCAGCCTTCCAGTATCTAGAGCTACAGGAAAGAAGACAGATTCTTTATCAGGGTCTGTGGTGACAGAACAAGGGCAAATGGCTTCAAGCTCAAAGAGGGTAGATGTATGTTAGATTGAAGGAAAAAAAAAATTCTACAGTGAGGGTGGTGAGGCAGTGGAACAGTTTGCCCAGAGATGTGGTGGATGCCCTGTCCCTGGAAACTTTCAAGGTGAGGCTGGATCAGGCCTTGGGCAACCTGATCTAGCTGTGGTGTCCCTGTTCACTGCAAGGGAGTTGGACTAGGTGGCCTTCAGGGGTCCCTTCTAACTCTAAGGAGTCAGTGGTTCTATGATTCTAGGATTCTAATTTGCACATCAGTAGCAAGTATAAGACCTACTTGTTTTCTTCGCTATTGCACTTTTATGCCAATAATATAAAAATAAATGGTAGTAAGCATGATTACAAATTACTGCTGTTGCTATTTAATATTTTCAATTACTGATGTAGAATATTCAGGATACTCTTTAGCTTTTTTGAAGAAATTAGTAACACTTCTCATGCTTGTTTCCAGCAGTCTTTGATTTTGGAATACATCTCATTTCTGATTGTAGATTTTTGTTTTTAAGTCAAACAAAATATTAAAATTCAATACTGAATTATAGTGTACCAACTTCCTGTACAAGTTTCCTTTTCTATATTGTGATGATTTTAACGTTCTGAGTATGGCCCAGTATTTTGTACTGTATGATGTCACACTCAGCAATGAAACTTGAAGGAAGAAAGAGAAGGAAAAAATTAATAAAGAAAGCAAGCAACCACTGCGCATGTAATACACGTACTAAGGCCCTGCTTCCTGAGAAGTGACTGAGCATTACTTGCTGTTGGGATTTGGAGAGTAGCTTTTTTCTCCTTCTGTTTCTCAGAAGTCTTTTCATTAAGCTGCTCCTGTCTCAAACCTGCAAGTGTTTGGTTTTTTTTTTTCTGCCATCTCATTTTCTCCCCTTTTTCCTGCTGAGGAGGAGGAGGGAGAGAGCAACTATGTGTAGTACTTAGCTATTATGAGATGACATATTACTTTTACATTGTTAGTGTTAAATATGTAGCTCCCAGTTTATGAACTCATTACTCAAACCTGGCTTTGAAGACAAATTATTACTTTCCTCATGGCCTTTCCATAGTGACTCTGGTATATGATTTGTCTTTTGCAAAAGTTACTTTTTTAATGTTACATTGCAAGGTGAGTAGGTAATGACCTGCAATAGGTACAAAGCTAAGAGATTGTAAGTTTAAAATTAATAATAATAAAAAAATGCTACTATTGTGTGTCTGGAGATGAAAGGCAATTTTTTGGTATACCAATAATTAAGTGCTGTATTTAAGCATAGTATCCATGAATTCTTAGCTGTTGCTGTTAGTGTGTGGAGTTCTTGCAAGTTGAACCTCAGAATTTTGATTTGAGCAATTAGAAAATGAGGAAAGTACAATTAATGAATGCCACTGAAAGGTTCAGCTGAAGTGACTTGCTCAGCAAATGAGAGCTCTCTAATTCTACCAGAAAAGCATGTAGTATTAGCATTCATAGTTGTGCTTTTTCTTGCATAAGAGAAGTGCTTTCTGAGGAGCAAATGATAGTTGCTGATTACCTGGACACCAGTCTTAGGGATTGATCATAGAGCTAAGTAAAATGTGGCAAAGGAGCAACCCGTGGTCCTCAAGCCATCCAAGTGGCACTGATTGATGAGCACCCACACTGCCTACCCCTTCCATCCACATTATGCAGTACAGGATATTTCTTTGGGTCCTTTGTGACTTCCTATAGTCATGAAAATAAGTCCTAAGAAATAATTATTTTTTGTGTTGTCTGGAAGTTCAGTTATTCTGAAATAATATGCAGCCTATGTCTGATGCAGCCCCATCTGTGCACTGTTTTTTGTATAGTGGAATTGACCACATATGTTGGGTGGATGTGGGGATGGGTATCGTGGGGGAATATGGTGATGACTGAGGGTACAAAGCCTGCTTAGGCTGTTGTCAGAATTCTGACAGAGCTGGATCAGATGCAGTGCTCTTAGTGCCTCCTTTTATGAGCAAATCTTAGAGTGAACTCTTCTTGCAGCAGTGCAGTTGGAGATCAAAATGGAGCCATGAAGAAAGCTAGGAAATAGGTCAAAATTAACCAAGATTAACTAAAGTTGATTTGGGGTTCAAACACCATCTTCAGTCACAACAATGGGAAGTTCAAATAGTGATAATGTACCTGATGGTAATACTAATTACTCACAGAGTTGACTTGTATGGTAAAAATATTCTCTCAGTGCAAATTCCATGCATTTCAGATGCAACCTTCTATTTTTTCCTACTATATAATGTTTTCATATTGGCTCTTGTTCTGGTCCTGTAAGTGTTTCTTTCTGTTGAGCACACCAGTATGAAGTTAGTATGCCCACAAATACGTGCGTGTGTTTTATGTTTAAGATTGTTGACCGTTTTTATTCTGGAAAATTTGAGTATATGTATTCTCAGTCAATTGTTTTTTATTTAGAAAAGTATTGTTTGTTCACAGTATTTGGCATGACGTAACATGTTCTTCTTAGAAGTTCATTTCCATGTGTTTCATAGAATCACAGAATCATAGAATGCCCTGGGTTGAAAAGGACCACAGTGATCATCCAGTTTCAACCCCCTGCTATGTGCAGGGTCGCCAGCCACCAGACCAGGCTGCCCAGAGCCACATCCAGCCTGGCCTTGAATGCCTCCAGGGATGGGGCATCCACAACCTCCTTGGGCAACCTGTTCCAGTGCGTCACCACCCTCTGAGTGAAAAACTTCCTCCTAATATCTAACCTAAACCTCCCCTGTCTTAATTTAAGACCATTCCCCCTTGTCCTATCACTGTCCAGCCTTGTAAACATTGTAAGGCTGCAGTGAGGTCTCCCTGGAGCCTTCTCTTCTCCAAGCTAAACAATCCCAGGTCCCTCAACCTTTCCTCATAGCAGAGGTGCTCCAGCCCTCTGATCATCTTAGTGGCCCTCCTCTGGATCCACTCCAAAACTTCCACATCCTTCCTGTACTGGGGGCCCCAGGCCTGGATGCAGTACTCCAGATGGGGCCTCATAAGAGCTGAGTAGAGAAAGTCAATCACCACCCTCTTCCTTCTGGCCACCCCTTTTTTAAGGTTTTTTGTTTTTTGTTTTTTGTTTTAATTTAGTATAATTAGAACTAATATTTCTTTTATATTTTATCCAGTGAATAATGGATGTAGTTATTTTAGTACTGCAAATTTCTTACTCTGTATTGAGATGTCTAATCAACTTTAAGTGTAAATTTTAGTTTTTCTGTATCTCTAAATCTCAGGGGAATATTTTCTCATAATTCTTTCTACTTGAGTAAGCTAAAATAATCATTGCTTTGAGTATTATCCATGTTTTCTACTTTAACTATGTCTTTTGCATTGTTTTGTACTCATTTCCTGTAGTTCAAAGTTCCTGCAGCAACAAGTGCCATTATCACAAATGGTAAGTATGTAGTTTTTATACTGTAGTTTCAGTTGATGGATATTGATAGACACAGAAACGTCTTTTCTATCACACTCTACAGTGTGCAAACTGAACTTAGTAATATTTAATAATATAGTAGCATTTTTCTTATTATTTACAGATGGGATGAAGGTATGAAGCCATTACTATTCACTGGAGTGGTTTTCTCCTAACACATAGTTTGGATTTCCTATGCTATAGATTTCTTGTTAGTTTCTTTGATGTGACTGATGTTGATTATTGGAAATAGCTATTTGAAGGGCTGGTGTGATAAGTATGTATTGTTTGATGTTTTATATTTTTGGGCAGTAAGTTCAATGTAATAAACTGTGAAGTCCATTTCACTGTCCTGTCTGTCTCTTTTTCTGCTTTAATTTCTTCCTAGATGGAATAGGAATAAACCCTGCACAGACAGCAGGTAAGTTTTTATTTATGGAGCCCAGTAGTTCTAGAAAAAACAAGTCAGGTATTTTAAGTTAACACATAGCACTCCAGGTTGGTTGTTATATCTCAAGTTTTGATTTCTTAAATGGGAGAACAGTTGTCCAGTAGTTCAAACTGCAGTCAGTGTTCTGAGTGAAAGATTAAATCCACAGAACTGTTATTTAGTAGGACTGTGGAAGCGTGAGGTACTGATGATCTTTAGGACTTAGCTATTTAGTGCAGTCTAAAAGAGCAATTACTAATTTCTAAAATACCAGATGATAGCTGTATTTTTTTTCACCACTGTGCCTACTCCAGTAGTATTTGGTATTTCAGAAGCCATTCTGATAAGATCTGTTTAGAAGAGTAACACTGTTTTAGAGCAGGAACTGTAGGTGCTTTGTAAAGTACATTCTCAAAAAGGGTGGTCTTGCAGATAGTCCTCTTGTTCCCCTCAAGGGATTCCAGGTGATTCCACCTGGTGCAAACTGTGAATCTAATTTTATTCCTGCTTGCAAACATGATGAACAGTTAGTGAAGAGTTCCTTGCTGCTTCTCTGGTTTTTGCCAGATCTTTTTGCCAGATCTTATTCATTTATGTCCTCTGTCTGCTGCGTGTTGCCAAAAGTGGCACAGTTTGCTTCTAGGTTTTTGGGTGTTTCATTTTTTTGGCTTTCTAGATACCGCTTTCTCATTCATATAATTAGCATACCTAGCCCTCTTAAGATAAACAGTATAAAGTAAAATCTTGCAGAGCATCTCACAGTAAGCAAGAGTTAGAAGGTCAATTGCTTGACGTTATTTTTTTGGAATTGTAGAAGGAATCACAGAAGTACAGCAGTCCACTTTTGATATCTGCAGTTCTATCAACAGCATTTGTAAGTGAAGATCAAGAGAGTACTTGGTTTTCTGCACCACATGAGGTTTTTGTCAACCTTGGGCTTGACTTAGGATACCCTTGTTTTTTGGCCAGTGTGCTGCCTCTGGCAGACTCCTCAGCTGTTGCTGTCCTCATCGTGAACATAGAGGCATAGAACCATAGAATTACAGAATGGTTTGGGCTGGAAGGGACTGCTAAGATCATTTAGTTCCAACCCCCCGGCTACAGGTAGGGGCATCTCTCTCTAGACCAGGTCAGTTAAAGCCCCATTCAGCCTGACCTTGAATGTTTCCAGGGAGGAGGCATTCACAGCCTCATTGGGCAGCCTGTTCCAGCATCTCACTACCCTCACAGTAAAGAATTTTCTCCTAATATCTAGTCCAAATCTGTCTCATTCCAGTTTAACACCATGTTCCCTTATCCTGTTGCTACCTGCCCTTATAAAAAGTCCCTTCCAGCTTTCCTGTAGGTCCCCTTCAGGTACTGGAAGGCTGTTATAAGTCTCCCTGGTGCCTTCTCCAGGCTGAAGGGCCTCAGCACTCTCATCCTGTCCTCATGGGGAAAGTACTTCAGCTCTCTGATCATCTTTGTGGCCCCTGTCTGGACCTAATCCAACAGCTCCATGTCCTTCTTGTGTTGGAGGCTCCAGAACCATATGTAAAACTCCAGGTGGGGTCTCATGAAAGCAGAGTAGAGGGGCAGAATCACCTCCCTCGACCTGCTGATCACATTTCTCTTGATGCAACCTAGAACACAGTTGGCCTTCTGGGCTGCAAGCACACGTTGCTGGCTTATGTTGAATCTTTCATCAGTCAACACCCCCAAATCCTTCTCCTCAGGGCTGCTCTCAAGCCATTCTCTAGCCAACCTGTATCTGCACTTGGGATTGCCCCGACACGAGTGCAGCACCTTGCACTTGGCCTTGTGGAACTTCATGAGGTTGGCATGGGGCCCACCTTTCAAGCCTGTCCAGGTCCTTCTGTATGGCATCCCTTCCCTCTAGCATGTCAGCTGCCACCACTCAGCTTGGCATCATCTGCAAACTTGCTGAGAGTGCACTCAATCGCACTGTTCATGTTGCCTACAAAGATGTTAGATAGCACCAATCCCAACACATCATATGACCAAGTACAATGAAGATAGATGATACAGCTAACAATATAGTTTAGCTACTGGATCATCATCAGCCTGTGAGGGCAGTTTTTCATACGGCCACTTAAGAACATTTAGGTGAAACAGTAAAGTCAGTTGTTTAAGATAAGATATATTTACACTGTTCTTCCTCAGAGGTATACTTGCATTTTGTATTATGTAGCTTAATCCTGCAAAGTAAATGGATTAAGGGCTACTTTATTTCTGAAAATGAAAATGTTCACATGGCAGTTCATCATGCCTGCAGCTATTCGCATCAAATTCAGATCTCCAGTTGCTTTGCATTAACTCTCCTAAATTTTGATAAATGTTGAGCAATTACTCAGCAGTAATATAACAGCATTTCATAGTCAAGGTTCAGGTAAATAAAAGACATCTAGATTGAAAATATTTCCTAATGATCTTGATCTTGTCTACAAATGTAAGATTAGGCACAGGGGTTTATATATATTTCTTTAACAAAGAAGATAAATGCCATTTGCCATGACAGTGTTATGTGGCATTGCTTTCAACTGAAAGAAGGACTGGGAAAAGAGCCACCAAATCAAGGATTCAAAACAAAATCCCTTCTGAGTTTACAAGTAAACCTATGTAACTCAGTTATAGCCTTAATTCAGCCTTATTGATGCTTTAGAAGCAACTTGATATGGCAAACCTTACATTTTTTTCCTTTTTACATATTACTAAGTTCTGGTGGGTTGAACCAGTAGTGTTTAAAAACTTCTCCAGTTAAGATGATCTGGGAATAAAATCTTAGTGTTCCTTGGGATTTTAGAGGTTTTGTCCTGTTCTATTTTTTCTTTGACTTCCCAACAAAAGCACTCCTCAAGTACGGCTTTAATTCTTCCTACATGATTTCACATGGCAAAGGAAATGAAAGCTGAAGAAGCTGGGCTTAACACTTAATTTCTGTACTGATTTCACTTTGAAATCCTCAGTAGTTTAGGTAATGGTATGCTGTAACTTTAATAAAACCCACTGTGATACTAATGATAGAAGCAGATTAAGAAATGGGTTGAGTTACTGCCTGCATGAGCTGTGAAATTTAATTTTATGATTACGATTGCAACATAAAAATCACTTCCTGAGGGAAGTCACAGCCCCAAGCTGCTGGATTTCAAGGAGCATTTGAATGGCACTCTCAGAAAGAGAGTTTGAAATCTAGATGGTCCTTTGTGGAGTCAGGAGTTGTATTCGATCCTTGTCTTTCCCTTCCAACTGAGGATATCCTATGATTTTGTGATTGTAATGTATTTCTTCAGTATTTTTTAACATTTGATAATCCATTCTTTTGAATGGAGTTTCTGTTATTATATTGAACAGGTAGAACAGTTTAAATTCTGATCTATGTGGTAGATTCATTAAGTTTAAAAAAAGGAAAGTTTTCCAGTATGTTGTTAATGAACAAATGTTAAGTATCTTAATCTTTGTTGGTAGTGCACTCATTCTACATCCATGAAATGGAGTGCTTAGAAGGAAAGGGAATTACACTCTTTTTACAAGTCAACACAGAGATGAATAGGAATACGTAGATGTGATTAAAACTTGATATTGTAGAACTGCATACAGTCTGCTTCACGAAGGACCAGTATGAAATTAAAAAAATAAAAAAGCAACTCCAAATGGTAATTAAACAATGCATCATGTTTAGTTAATAGAAGAGAACAGTAGAGACGATCCTGAATGCATGCAGAAATAATTCTAGACATAGAAGTATTAAAAATGTTTGTATTGCACACTCCTGGAAAGACTGTCGTGATTGGGACTACACAGTGTTAAATGAGAAGTTGAAGAATTTTTTGATGCTAAATTGAAACTTACAGGAAGGTTTTCTATGTATCTAAGTAAGAGTAGAACAGCTGAGATTCTGAAGTTAAAAGCAGATAAATACTGAACTAGGGAGAGAATTAAGAATCAGTATATGCATTAATTACCTCAAAATAAAATAATTTTAGTTAATTAAAACTTGATTTCTCAGTCTTGAAGTTATCATGACATATAAGTGAAATTAGGCATTCCAGCATAGAACTGCACAGTTGAAAGGCTGTAACTTGCAAGTCTTATATGACTTTGAGTCTGGTGTTATTACTTAAAAGCAAGAGCTCTTTAGAGAGGCACTGTAGGAAGGATAAGATTAAATTCTTTGGAAATACAAAAAATGGTTTTGTAGCGTATAGAGAAATTGTTATAAAGATATTGAACACTGATCTAAGGGCATTATTGTCCTTTAAATGTGTATGCTTGCTTCGGCAACTTATTTTGTTTGGTAATGTTCTCTTGTTTGTTTGTTTAGGAAATGTATTTCTAAAGCACGGTTCAGATCTACGGATTATTCCCAGAGATCGAGTTGGAAGCTCTTAATGTCTACTGAAATCTTCTGGAATAAGTGACATTGGCATGTAGTTAATGTCTATTTATTTTGGGACTCTGCATTGTGACTAAAGAATTGGCCTTTTTGAAGCTACCCTATATGACTTGCCGAGATCCAATCTTTTTTTGTCACACAGATAAAGTCTCATTTTCTTGTTAAAGCATAATAAATAATGCACTGGTTATTTCTTTACTGATATTTTTCAATGGGGTGATCCTATTGAAAAAAAAGATGGATGTCTCTAAAGATGTTTTTTACTGAAAATGCAAGAGTAAACTCAACCACAATAAGTAATTATTTAAAATATTACATATTGTCAAACTTAGTTTGTGGAAGGGGGAACTTTATGATCTTGTTCCAGAGAAACTGTTCTACTGAGTGTTGGAAGGTTTAGCTTTATTCCTTCTTTCTTTTTTCTTTTGATAAAATTCCATGTTGAGAGGAGAAGTTTTACCACAATTCGAGCATTAAGCCCAGATAGAATTGAAAAGTTAAGTGGTTTATAATTGAAATAAGTAAGTAAATGCCAAATGTTCCAAAGTAATTGTAATATTTAATTGTTGAAAACATTTTAGATAGCAGAGAATGCAGAGGTACCTATATGTTAACTTCACAAAACATCAAATGAAGTTTCAAACCAAATGCAATTTCAGAGAATTTGTGAGACATAATCTCAAAATGCCATGGAAGGCCTGGCAAAATTTGGGAATGTATAAGTACTGGTCAAATATGTCATTCCTTTTTCTATAAATAATGGTTCTTTGTAAAAGTTTTTGTTTCTGCATATTACAAGAGAATCATAGTTCATCAAAATGTTTGTGTTCAGGTAATATGCTTTTTCTTTATCAGTTGCCTGAGGTAATTTATCAATCGTGCATTTTATTTAGAGTAATTGCTGCTTTTCTTGAACTGGTTGTTCTACTTTGTGATTTAATCTGGCCAAGTCTTACCCTGTTGCATTTTGTGTTTCTTACTGAGTTTACAGGAAGTAAAACAGTGGGCAGAGCAGTGCTTGGTTTAATGAGAATCATCGCAAATGATTAATGATTGCACTTCACTGTGCAAAAATTCTCCAGAAAGATGTTCAGATTCGGTTTCAAATAGTGCACAGAATGCCCTAATGAGTGGATATGAATTCAGTATGTAGAAGAAAACGTTCTGAAAGTGATATTTGACTTAAAATTTTCCACCTCTAAGATGGATTGTAAAATTCTTCATTTTCCTTTGTTTTAATAAACAATATGAAAAAAATACAAATGTTCCTTTCTCATTTTTGTCAGTTTGATTTTGACAGTAATTAAAAATGCCACCCTTTTGACCTTCATAATTAAGATACTGTGAGATTAATTTGAAGCCAGAAGATTCTTACTATGCAGAATTCTGTCCAACACTGACTTGAAGGTACTGTGTATAGCTTCTATTAATGTAATGCTACAAGATGATTAGAAAGGGCTACATCAATGGCTTTTAACTTTCTCGGCAGATCTGTTGTTGGAATACCTGTAAAAGAATGTAACAAATAGGAAGCTTTCTTTCATGTCTCAAGATGCAATATAGTTTTCAGAAGGTCATCAGGGCCTTTTCAAAGGCATTTTGAAACTAAGGTACCTTAGGCTAGTTAAAAGTGATTTCAGATGATTGCTTCCTGCTTATAATAAGCTTTTACTACACTTTTACTGTGTTAATAGCACAATGTGAAGTATTTGTTTGAGGTGCTGTGTTGCAGCATAGTTTGTGTAATATGCAAATGATTTGTCCATTTGGAAGAATAACTTATCTTTGTAATACTTTCTCTGTTCATGACACCTTTGTGTAAATATGGTCTCTGAAATTTGAATGTAGCTTTTCTATTTGGTGTTAGTAGTAAAATGGTCTTAGCAGACATTTGCAAGTTGATGTTATGTTTGCAAGTACATATTGTTATGTCAAAGTCAGGTTGGATATGTTGTACGAGAAAAATTGTAAATTTAGAAGCAGATTTCCTGGGCTGAGGCAGTCTTCAGAAGATTTTGAAAAGAATCCCTAACTTCCCCTACTTTGTCAGACTTTGTTGCTCCTTTGCTGAAGGCATGAAGGCAATTCAAAGGGTTTGTTTGTTTGTTTTTCCCTTGTATTGTGAAAGAATGGCTGTTTTACTTTGCAGGTACTCTGAAAAGATAGGGCTAAATCCTAGAATGATGATGTGGAAAGTCTTGGTGAGACCTTAAAAGAGCTGTAATGATTGTTTTGGTTTATAAGATATTGTGGACTTTTTTTTTTTCTCAAGTTTGACAGTATTTTAAGGACATTTTTGAGGAAGGGAAGTGCAGTGACCTAATGTAATATAGAGAAACTGAGTTAGGAAGTAGTCTTCACATTATTTCTGTCAGTTATGTTCTTTTCCTTGTATACTCAAGTCTTCATTTCTGCTGTGTTAATTTTCTTCATAGAGGCTCATGTAATGCTTTTTTTTTGGACTTAGGATGAGGATAACATTGATAACATGCGATGTTTTTAGCTATTGCTGAGCACTGCTTGCACGGAGCCAAGAATGTTTCAGCTTCTCACACTGCCCTGCCGGCAGGGGGCTAAGAGTGCACAAGAAGCTTGGAGGGGATGGAACCAGGACAGCTGACCTAAAGTCAAGGATATCTCATACCATAGGGTATCATGCTCAACCATAAAGCTGGGGGAGTTGTCCAGGATGGCTGCCATTCTTTGGAGACTGGCTGAGCATCAGTCAGCTGGTGGTGAACAATTGCATTGTGCATCACTTGATATGTTCATTCTTTTTGTTAAGGTAGTTTTTCTTTCCTTTTCCCCCCACCCCTTTTTTATTAAACTGTCCTTACCTTAGCCCCTGATAGGGGAGTAAGCTAATGGCTCTGTGGTCTTTAGCTGTGTGCCCGATTAAACCACAAAATGTAGCCTTTTTTCATATTTAAGATTGAAAGACTTTTCCACTCTTGTTGCTAATAACCATTAAAATCTTAGGCAGCAGGTCTCAAAACTTGAGAATTTTTGTCTCTAGGTTGATGGTGAAAACCCGCTTCCCATTGCTGCTCCGGTGGTACAGTGTGCAGTTCGAGCAAGAGAAAGAACTGTGCTGCAGCATGTTAAGTGGATCCTGAAGATGGTGAGAGTACAGCAGTACTTTGTATGCTAGCATGCAGGTAGTCATCAAATGGAGCACTTGAATAGGGCAGTGGAAAAAACTGAATCCTGTGGTTTCCCAAGTAGCACGGTGGAGACAGCATTTCAGCAATGCTGGCAGAACCCTGAGCTCTAACTGAGTGAAATTCATTTAATACGTGATACATAGCATTCAGATTTAAATACAGTGTAGCTAACTATACATCTCAGCCCCTGTTCCTGCTGATGGAAGGTAGATTCGTGGTAGTATACACAGAGGCTAGTATGATCTTTTTGAGGCTAATCTCTGCAGGCTGTTCCTGAAATTAATGGAAAGTAAGATTCCTCTGGAGGGACATTCAGAGTAGCTAAATGAATCTTCACTTCTGAATTGCCCTCTGGAGGAGCCTTTCTCTCTTTACTAAGTATAGATGTTGCCCTGTATGGGCTAATGTTAACCTTTGTGAATACATCCCCAGCATGCTCTTTCCCCTCCTTTCAAAATTGTGTAGTGTAGCATTGTGCTACTCAGCTACTGTTGTTTGATCGGGATGTTTAGTGAATGACACAAAGCTCCCAGGGATTTGTTCAAAACTGAAATTATTGCATGACACAAACATGCTCTTTATGTGATATTATTAGTTGAATGCATCTTTTCTGTTTTTACAGTAGGCTCAGCACCCATGATGGGAGCATGAGAGGCTTGTTCTTTATGGAAAGCTTTGTCAGATTAAAATCAGTTGTCTACAAACAAAGAAGAAAACCTCTACTGAAGAAGAAAACAAAAGATTCTGCTCATTTTTCAGAGCGTATAGTTGTTTTCCCTTATCTCCCTGAGAAGGTTAAATGTTCCTGAAAAGCAGATTTTAAAGAATTTGGGATGCATAAAAGAAGCTGCTAACGCAAAGAGCAGGTGCAAGTGTTCCTGCTTATTACTGTGAAGAAAGTCCTGAGCCTGTGACTGGGAGCTGTCAGTGTCTTTCATTGATTAGGAAGTACCAGATGGTGTCTGTGAGAAGTGCACCAACTTCAGAGGCTTCCTTTCCCTGGAGGAAAAAATAAAAATAAAAAAAAAATCACTCTTAAATTCTGAACGTAGGTCAGATTTGTCCTATAATCAATCACTGCTGCAGACTTGAAACTAATCTTTTTGTTGTGGGAATGGGAAGGTGTATCAAGTTGCTTTCACTGTTCTTGAGACTTGATGAGAAATAAGTCTGGGTTGGTCTGGACATTAAAAAATATTCAGGACTTGTCTCTGAACAAACATGAACTGGTTGCCAAGATAGATTATGGAGCCTCCTTCTTTGCTGATGCTCAAAGCATGATCAGACAGGGCTCTGAGCAACTGATGAAACTTCGAGGCTGACATATCTCTAAGCAGGGCTTAGAACCAGATAAACTTCAGTTGGTCTTTCCAGCCTAAGTGACTCCCTGGACAGTTCTTTCCTTATTCCTTTTCCCAGCATTTTGTTGGTAGAAAAAGAGCTACATCTTACTTTACCTTAGATACTTGCCCAGATAAGGTAAGATACAGCCACAGTTCTTCCTACTTGAACCCTTTTTAGTCTCCTCACACCTGTGTTTTCTCAGAATACCTGTAGAGGATTACAGTCCTTGACCTCCTGCTGGAACAAGCAAAAAGTTTTATCAGAGGTATTAGCCAAAATCGTACTGTCTTCTACTGTTGCATAGAAGCTGTGGCAGTTGAATAATTTGGAGTCTGATATAAAGGAATTTGTAATCATTATGACATTAATATTAGAGATCTTGTAAACTGCATTTTTAATGTTTGTATTGAAAACAGACAGCATTTGATGTAGCTGATCAGATAATATTTACTGCTGTAACTTTCTAAGTCACAATTTTTTTACTCAGGCAGGGGAGGGAATGTAAATACCATTACTGTAATAAAATGCTGTCAGAGGATCCACGTTTCTTGAGAAATTAGCATCTCAATTCTGCTTTACATTGACATTCCGAGTTAGCAGTAACGATTTAGCAGTAGAGACCCATTAACTCATAACAGAGTTCTCTTCCATTCCTGTGGGCTCTTGAGTAGGATACAAACAATGCCTGCTAACAAAAACAGCAGCTAGGAGTCCTCACCCCCAACATGAAAAGTGAAAGATCGTACAAGCACTCAGTGTCAGTAAGCACCACCCATGCAGAGCAGATCATTAGCACATGAACAAGTGCACAGCGTGTGTTTCCAACTGTACAGTAGTCTGTAATATCCATTATGGGTGACAAATCAAAATGGTCCAATTATTTATGTCAGATTCATTTAATTCTCATTTCTTGACTAAATACAGTTCTCAGTGAATGTATCTGTAGCAGTAAGTAAGAGTGGGTCAGAGTAAGCTCAGGTGGTGATTGTTCTCGCTTCTTGGTTCTGTTTTGGACAGCCCCATCTGTCTCCAAAACAGACCTATTCAGACCTGTTCCAGAGAGGTTTTGCACGACAGTCAGTGCCAAGTGGACTCAAGCCCAGGAACAATGGGCCTGAATGGTCTGAAGTTTGCACATCTCATTTTTGTTTGTAACCTCACAGCCAGAGAAAATTAGAATAGAGGTCATCCATTTGTTTCCATCAGTAAGGGTCAGGAATTCTTGAAGGTTTATTGGCCAGTGTCCGCAAATGACAGAAGGAACCAATTTTAGCCACATATTTTTGTGAATTGCCCAGCGACTTTCAAATTTCTTCTGTACTACTGACACACCAGACGAACTTAATGACAGAAAAAATTCAGTCACAGAAGGTGTTAGTGGGGTTTGAAATAAAAGCAACAGCAACAACAAAACTTGTAAAGGATCTTAAAAATGAGAGCACTCAGGCATTGAGAGCACTCAGGAACTGATGTGGCCTGACGTCCCATTTCTTTGCTGCAGTTCTCTACAAACTTTGATTGGTGACAACTGCCCTGTGGTTGTTTGTTTACTTTGCTTTCAAACACTTCCAAGCACAAACCAAAGAGGCAATTGGTCTCCAGGCATATCTGAAAAAAAAAATCCCTTTAATTCTTTCAGTTCTGACCATTTAACACAGTCTGACTGGTATCAGTGATACTTCCATAAGAGGCATCATGTCTTTTGGAATTAATGTAAATTATTTCATATCTAAACTATTGAAATAATGCAA